AATGTCCTGAGAAGCTTCAGCCATTGAAACTGAGCTATAGTAACTCCAAGGCCATGATTCTCACCCTTCCTGATGCGGAGACCCTTTAATACAGGTCCTCATGTTGTCATGAACCCCTACCATAAAAATATTTCATTGCTGCTTCATGACTGTAATTTTGCTACCATTATAAATCATAATGTAAATATCTGATATGCAGGATATCTGACATGTGACTCCTGTTAAAGGGTCACACACTTCCCTTCTGAGGGGTCATGACCCATAGCTTGGGAACCACTGCTCTAAGGGTACGAACACAATGTGGTTCTCTGATGAGCGGGTGCCCATTCCCGTAGATAGGCTGCACTGGTTCAGTACTGGCTTAGGCATCAGTTGGGCTCTTTGCTACTCATCCCTTCCAGTCCACCTCGTCTGTTGGCATAGGGTTGGTGGATGAGGGTAGCGTGAGGAATAGAATCTCTTGAAGGCTTTGGAGATCTAAGCGCTGCATTTTTTCAGCCCGTTTAACTCCTTTTATCTTCTAATTGTTGATATTTAGGAATGTCTCCAGGCTTTTGGCTACTAGCTCCTTAATCTGCCATCTCTTATCCCTAGATTTTTGGCAGAATATTTCATTTTCCCTAAGAGAAAAGAAATCATTTTGGTTTTGCTGAAATGCTAAATGGCCATTTTAAGCAAAAAAATAGTTATAGGAAGGTTCAAGTAAGCGAATGACCACCAGGTCATGCATCAGCTGGACAGGAAAGGGCAAAGTGCTTGAGGGTGAGGCCTCTTGGGTCTGTTCAAGAGTTCATAACATGAGCATAACATGAGTTCCTGTACCTACATAAAACATTATCCACATCAACACCTTATACTACTTAAACACTGGAGTCTACACTATAGCAGCCATCGTAACCAGCTTCATGAGCTGATGCTGTCACTGGGGGTAAAGACAGCAAGTGTGGCTGGGCCTCTTTCTTTTTTTAATTTATTTATTTCTTTATTAGTTAATTAAAGATTTCTGTCTCTTCCCCACAGCCGCCTCCCCTTTCCCTCCCACTCCCCCAATCAAGTCCCCCTCCCTCATCAGCCCAAAGACCAATCAGGGTTCCCTGCCCTGTGGGAAGTCCAAGGACCACCCACCTCCATCGAGGTCTAGTAGGTGAGCATCCAAACTGCCTAGGCTCCCACAAAACCAATAGCTGCAGTAGGATCAAAAACCCATTGCCATTGTTCTTGGGGTGGGCCTCTTTCTTAAGCCCTCTAGAACCTAGTTTCCATTCATGGAGCCAGGGAAATGGATGCTGGGACTGGAAATAGCACTGGCTCCCATTTGTTGAGCCCCCTGTGATCTACACAGGCTGTTAGAAAGATGCACAGAGAAAGCAGGGTCTTTTTCTGTGCTATTTTTCACAAAATCACAGAATTTCAATGGTCACAAGATATTCATGATACTGCACTTCCCTTGTGTTTCTTGCCAGATTTGGTCTTGTTATTTGGAGCATTGTTAGCATCATAGTGTGTCCAAGTCAAAAGGTTCCTTGGAGCTCTTTCATGTAACCAGAGGAAATCAGAGTTCTGTGATCTCCCAGAGTTGCCAAAGAGAAGGAACGAACTTGTTTCTTAGTTGTCATTGAATTTCTCGTCATACCTCACGACAGCCATGGCCTGGGCCAGGTTGAGGTGAAAGCACAGAAGTTGAACCATTTTTCTGGAGGACAATTAGGCCTTGCCAGAAGGGACATGAGCTCAAGAAAGCTAACTGAAACACAAACACACCCTACTTTAATCAGACGTTTAGTCCCTGATCCTAAAATCATCTCTTGGGTAATTAGCCCTGCTGGGTGAAGTTTTACGTCATTTGAGACATCTGATCTGGTGACTTAGGAACATAGGCAACAAAGATATTGTCAAAAAAACATGATCACAGAGGAAGAAGAATGAGTTACATGATTCGACCTCTGGATAAACAGGCTCCTCTGAGAAAAATCAGTGCTTTGCCTCAGCCAGTAAGCCTAATCCAAAACCAATTTACTCCTTTTACAGCAACCCTTGCTTCAGATGCCAAGCTATGTGCTATCCGCTGAGTGGGATTTCCTGTCCTGCTGGTCTTATTTCTTTTCTTCTAGGGGCTATCCTCTAAAACAAACAGAGGGGGAACTTCTGTGTCACGTAGAAATGTAAGCTTTTCTCTTGTGACATTTTAACAAAATTTGTCCTCTGAATGAGACATAAGGAATGTAAACTGGCAAGGAGTTTTTTTTATTATAAATTGTTATTATTATTACTATTTATTCAATAGTGACAAAATATAGAACGTTGGTCCTAGAGCAGTGGTTCTTAGACAGGGTTTCTCTGTGTAGCTTTGGAGCCTGATCTAGTACTTGCTCTGTAGCCCAGACTGGCCTCAAACTCACAGAGAGATCCACCTGCCTCTGCCTATCTAATGCTGTAATTAAAGGTGTGTGCCACCACTGCCCAGTCTAGAGAAGTTGTTCAACTATGTTTATAGCAGCACTATTTGTAATAGCCAGAACCTGGAAACAACCTAGGTACCCTTCAATGGAAGAATGGATAAAGAAGGTGTGGAAGATATACATATTAGAGTTCTACTCAGCGGTTAAAAAAAATGACATCTTGAATTTTGGATGCAAATGGATGGAAATAGAAAACACTTACTGAGTGAGATAACCCAGAACCAAAAATATGAATATGGTATGTACTCACTCATTAGTGGATTCTAGCCATAAACAAAGGACATTGAGTCTATAGTTCGTGATCCTAGAGAAGCTAAATAAGAAAGTGAACCCAAAGAAAAACATATATTTATCCTCCTGAATATTGGAAGTAGACAAGATCACCAGGCAAAAGTTGAGAGCACACGGGGGTGGGGGTGGGGTGGGGGGAAGGGAAGATGGGGAGAGAGAAGGGAGAAGGGGAGGATGTGGGAGAGTTTGGGGGAATGGGATGCTTGAGATGGAGGAAGGGTGGATGGGAGCAGAGAAGAATTTATCTTAATAAGGGAACCATTTTAGGGTTGACAAGAGACTTGGTTCTAGAGGGGTTCTCAGGTGTCCAAGGGGATGTCCCCAGCTAGGTCCTTGGGCAGCAGAGGAGAGGGTGCCTGAACTGGCCTTGTCCCGTAGCTACACTGATGAATATCTTGCATATCACCAAAGAACCTTCATCCAGAGATGGATGGAGATAGAGACAAAGACCCACATTGGAGCACTGGACTGAGCTCCCAAGGTCCAGATGAAGAGCAGAAGGAGAGAGAACATGAGCAAGGAAGTCAGAACCACAAGGAGTGTGTCCACTCACTGAGACAGTGTGACTGATCTAATGAAAGATCACCAAGGCCAGCTGAACTGGGACTGAACGAGCATGGGATCAGACTGGACTCTCTGAATGTGGCTGACAATGAGGGCTGACTGAGAAGCTAATGATAATGGCTCTGGGTTTTGATTCTACTGCATGTACTGGCTTTGTGGGAGCCTAGTCTGTTTGGATGCTCACCTTCCTAGACTTGGATGGAGGGGGAGGGCCTTGAATTTCCCACAGGACAGGGCACCCTGACTTCTCTTAGGACTAGAGAGGAAGGGGGAGAGAGAGGGGGGCAGTGGGAGGGAAATGGGAGGATGGGAGGAGGTGGAAATTTTTAATAAATAAATAAAAAAGAAAGAAAGATATTGAAAGACAATAAATAGCCTGAGTTTCTCGACTTATGAACACTTACTGTAACAAAACAAAAGCGGTGAACATGAGCTTCCCTGCTTCACTGTTCAGCCTCAGGTCTGTCTCTTCTGGCTCTGAGCCTCTACCGTAGGTGGCCTTGAGGGGTCTGAAGATGCCCCTCAGGCTTGGGTGTCCCTTCCTGTCTCCAGATCCTTTGCTTCTTTCACTGCCCACACAGGACCCTCCTGCTCCTACAGTTCTCTGAGTGAGTGGAGCCTGCCCCACCTCAGTCCCCCATCTGGCCTTCCTAGAGCCCCTTCTTGACCTAGGAAAACAAACTGAGCTTCAAAATAGCAGGGCAGAGAGTGCTTGTTTCTTTCCCAGAAGCCAGGCTAATGGCCTGTGGCTACTGGTGCTCATCACTAGGCTAAGATTTGCCTGTCTCTATACTTTAATGGAGTTTTCTGACCAGTAGACCCTTGGCTTAGGGCAATAGCCACTACCTGACTGCAATAACCGGCAGCTTCTACCAAGTAGAAACTACTGTCCTTTTTAATAACAAGAAATTGTTGAATTTAGATGTCAACTTAAATGATACTAAAAGACACCTTTTGTGTAGAGCACACCCTTTCAACACTTTTAGCGCGGCTGCCTTAGAACAGCTAGGAACACGGGTTCTGAAGGCTCATAGGGAGTTCCCACAGACTTTTAAGTGTCTCTTGGCTGGAAGTCCCACACACTCACTTAATTCCCATTCTTGGATCTGGTCTCACTGGGAGCCACACTGCTTCCTCCTTATTTCTCTCTAGTAGCGGCTTCCATCTGCAGTTTGAACAAGCAGACCTGAGTGTCTACACACCTTCCTTCCACAGAGGACTGTGCTCACATATTTGTAGTGAATGGCCACTTATTCTGGCTTCACGCTCTGCATCCAGGACTCTGATTCATCCTATGCTCTCCCAGGAGCAGACATTTGACCTATGGAAGGTCAGCATTATTTAAATCTGGAGCCACTGCTACAGGACCACCTGGGCTCAGATTCATCCCGACCCTGCTGAAGCTATCCCACTTTGGTTTCTACAGTTTGACTTGATTCCAATGGAGAAGGCACAATTCTCTCAGGTTCTTCTGAGCACATAGGTAATTTTAAATCCCCCAATTCCATTTTTTAATAGGTACCCCAGCTCCTATGGAGAAGCTAACCATAGCTCATCTCTTCTAGACATCTTCCTGAACAGTACTGGACCGCCGGGCTTATCCATATTATTCCTTTCACATTTCCTCGTACTTCCACCTAGGTAGAAGGTCCCTTAGCCCCAAATCCAGACAAATAAACAACTTACTTGGTTCCACAATCACTTGGGTTCCTTGTCCAAAGACGAGCTTGTCTGTCGCACAGCCACTGAGGCCATTCCAAAAACCTCCATGGCTCTTCCCCAACTTCTATCTGTTGACTTCATGGCTGGAGGGCTTTCATGCTTCTGTACTTTAAACATGGCACTAGCCGCTCATCCAGAAGGCTCATCATGACTTCACAAATGTGTGTGAGGACAGGTTTGCCTATAGGAGCTTGTTGCTTGAGAACCAAGTGGGAACAACATATTCTGCAGTGAACGTTTCTGGCACAGAACACACAACATTCTCTTCGCTGAGCTTTCTGCTGCTTAAAACTGTTCCGTTTCTTAGACCCACAAATAAACTGCTTGTCTCAAATATCCAGCACTATCAGGTCTTGGATCCAGGACAGCTTCAGAGTGGAGATTTCTACACTTGTTGTGTGGCTTTAAGGTCAGAGAACACATCGCACAGCAAAGGAGAGGGAGAAGGGGCATGAAGTGCCAGTTAGTTCCTCCACATAAACTTCGGAGTTCCTAAATGCGGCTGGCGAACTGGCCTACCAACGAATCAACCTCTCTCAAGCCCACCTTCCCAAACTGTAAAAAAAAAAAAAAAAAAAAAAAAAAAAACTTGGGAAAATTTCTCTAGGGACCCAACTCCCCAAATTCCCCAGGGAAGAGCTCATTTAGCTCTTTGAGTGTTGCAGAACCAACAGGAAAGCAAGACAAGGGTACGCGTTTAACAAAGCCCTTTCGTCTTCCTCATTTGCCATGTAAGGAAATGATGAGATAACATTTTTACCCAGCAAACAGGCAGAGGCCAGCAGTAGGGGTCATCTCGTGTCCAGTCAACTTCCTGACATTTTCCCAGGCTTCCAAACAAGGAGGACAGGCTGCCCCACTGGGTTTATCCTCCATGACACCTGACAGGCAGAGCACTTCCCAGGGAGATGATTCTGCCCCCTTGTAGTTTTTGTACAGGTCCCCAGTGGGGTTTGTAACACTGTGCTCATATACCTCCAATCACGGTGTTTTAGAGCTTTACAGAAACCTTCCCTGGCTCTGCATCATGTGTGTCTGAGAACCCCCAGCCAGATGTCTTCTGCAAGTCAAACCACAGTGAGATCAAAGGATTCGGCAGTTAGTTCAGGCCAGACTTGCCTGGGCACTACTGTCCAATGCTCACTGCCCTGCTGGCTGGAGACCCTGGGGGTCAGAGTGGACTGTTAGAACTTGTCAAGTTCACTCCTATCCATACTTTTTGTCCAGTCTTCTCTGAGAGGGTTTCCCAGGGAGGAGTGTATTAGCTGTCTGAAAGTCTCCCGTGCGTTCTACATGCTGTGGGTTAGGCAGAGAATGTTTGTGGCCAATATAATTTTTCCTCCCTCCCGCTGAGCCTCAGAACCACCTTTGTCTGCCTACTTTTCACTTGAATAGTGTTATACAGTCCGCAAAAAGGCTTTTAAGTAAATTAAAAATTTTATCCTCTCCATTGACCTCCCAGTTGTTTAATTTGGAGCCAGTAGCACATATGGTGCTTTGTGTCGGCACCATAGGTTCCAGCTTGGTAAAGAGAACTCTCTTTTGTGGGCTTTATAAAAGGTATTCAGTTCTCCAGCTGGTGCTGTCCAGTCCTAGGGCCACATACAGTCTAGTTAGGTCTTCTGTGCCCTCAGTCAGGGCACAACGAGAGCAAGCAGATACAGTAACTCTGCCTAAATACAATAGATACATCTTAATTATACAGATATTTGACTTTTGCTTTGGGCTGAGTAATGCCCTTCGAGTCTTTCCTAGAGGCCTCCAATGCTAATCTTGTTTGTTTTTGATCATTGTGAGGATGGCTGTTGAGACATGGCAACAAAGATGTTCTTTTTTTTTCAGTTTTTTTTTTTATTAATTTTATTGTGGTATACATTTTTCTCTGCTCCCCACCCTACCTCTCCCCTCCCCTTCAACCCTCTCCCTTGGCTCCCTTGCTCCCAATTTACTCAGGAGATCTTGTCTTTTTCTACTTCCCATGTACATTAGACCCATGTATGTCTCTCTTAGGCTCTTCTTTGTTGCCTAGGTTCTCTGGGATTATGATTTATAAGGCTGTCTTTCTTTGCTTTATGTCTAAAAACTACTTATGAGTGAGTAGATATGATATTTGTCTTTTTGGGTCTGGGTTAACTCACTCACTATGATGTTTTCTAGATCCATCCATTTGCCCACAAATTTCAAGATGTCATTATTTTTTCTGCTGTATAGTACTACATTGTGTAAATGTACCACATTTTCCTTATCCAGTCTTCAGTAGAGGGGCATTTAGGTTGTTTCCAGGTTCTGGCTATGACAAACAATGCTGCTATGGACATAGTTGAGTACATGGCCTTGTGGTAGGATTGAGCATCCTTTAGATATATAACCAAGTGTCTTTCAGCCATTTTAGATTCCTCTGTTGAGAGTTCTTTGTTTAGGTCTATACTCCATGTTTTTATTGGATTATTTGTTCTTTTGATGATCAATTTCTTGAGTTCTTTGTATATTTTAGAGATCAGACCTCTGTCTGATGTGGGGTTAGTGAAGATCTTTTCCCATTCTGTAGGCTGTTATTTTGTCTTGTTGACTGTGATGTTTTCTTTACAGCAGCTTTTCAGTTTCAGGAGGTCCCATTTATTAATTGTTTCTCTCAGTGTCTGTGCTACTGGGGTAATATTTAGGAAGTGGTCCCCTGTGCCAATGCATTCAAGTGTACTTCCTACTTTATATTCTATGAGGTTCGGTATGGCTAGCTTTATTTTGAGGTCTTTGATCCATTTGGACTTGAGTTTTATGCTTGGTGATAGATATAGATCTATTATCATTCTTTTACATGTTGATATCCAGTTATGCCAGCACTATTTGTTAAATACACTTTCTTTTTTCCATTTGATATTTTTTGCTTCTTTGTCAAAAATCAGGTTTTTCTAGGTTTGTGGATTAATATCTGGGTCTTTGATTCAGTTCCATTGGTCCTCCTGTCTGTTTTTATGCCAATACCAGACTGTTTTCAGTACTGTAGTTCTATAGTAGAATTTGAAGTTAGTGATTGTGATGCCTCCAGAAGTTCCTTTATTGTACAGGATTGTTTTGGCTATCTTGGGTTTTTTGCTTTTGCATATGAAGTTGAGTACCATTCTTTTGAGGTCTGTGAAGAATTTTGCTGGGATTTTGCTAGGCATTGTATTGAATCTGTAGATTGCTTTTGGTAAGATTACCGTTTTTACTATGTTAATTCTACCTACACAAGAGCATAGGAGATCTTTTCACTTTTTGGTGTTTTCTTCAATTTCTTTCTTCAGAGATTTAAAATTCTTGTCATACTTGTCTTCCACTTGTTTGGTTAGAGTTACTACGAGATATTTTATGTTATTTGTGGCTATTGTGAAGGGTGATGTTTCTCCGATTTCTTTCTCAGCCCATTTATTATCTGTGTAAAGGAGGGCTTCAGATTTTTTTGAGTTAATCTTGCATTCTGCTACATTACTGAAAGTGTTTATGAGTTGTAGAAGTTCCTTGGTAGAATTTTTGGGGTCTCTTATGTAAACAATCATATCATCAGCAAATAGTGAGACTTTGACTTCTTCTTTTCTGATATGTATTCCCTTGATCTCCTTTTGTTGTCTTATTGCTCTAGCTAGGACCTAAGAACTATATTGAATAGATATGGAGAGGGTGAACAACCTGTCTTGTTCTTGATTTCAGTGGAATTGCTGGGAGTTTCTCTCCATTTAGTTTGATGCTGGTTCTCTGTATATTGCCTTTATTATGTTTAGGTATGTTCCTTGTATCCTTGCTCTCACCAAGACCTTTATCATGAAGAGATTTTGTATTTTGTCAAAAGTTTTTTCAGCATCTAATGAGATGATCATGTAATTTTTATTTTTCAGTTTGTTTATATAGTGGATTACACTGACAGATTTCTATATGTTGAATCATCCCTGCATCTCTGGGATGAAGCTGACTTGATCATGGTGGATGATGTTTCTAATGTGTTCTTGTATTTGATTTACTAGTAGTATTTTATTGAATATTTTTTCATCAATGTTCATGAGTGAGATCGGTGTGTAATTCTCTTTGTTTAGAATGTCTTTCTGTGGTTTGGGTATCAAGGTAATTGTAGCCTCATGAAGAGTTTGGCAATGTTCCTTCTGTTTCTATTGTGTGGAATAATTTGAGGCGTATTGTATTAGTTCTTTGAAAATCTTGTAGAATTCTGAGCTGAAACCATCTGGTCCTGGGCTCTTTTTGGTTGGGAGACTTTTGATGACTGTTTTTTATTTCTTTAGCATTATAGGTCTATTTAATTTGCTTATCTGGTCTTGATTTAATTTTGGTAAGTGACATTTATCCAGAAAGTTGTCCATTTCTTTTAAGTTTTACAATTTTGTGGAGTACAGGTTTTCAAAATATGACCTAATAATTCCATGTATTTCCTCTGTGTCGGTTGTTATGTCCCAATTTTTATTTCTGATTTTGTTAATTTGGATATTCTCTCTCTGCCTTCTGGTAGGTTTGGATACAGGTTTATCTATTTTGTTGATTTTCTCAAAGAACCAACCTTTTGTCTCATTGATTCTTTGTATTATTTTTTTTGTTTCTATTGTGTTGATTTCAGCTCCCAATTTGATTATTTCCTGCCATCTAGTTCTCCTGGGTGAGTTTGTGTCTTTTTGTTCTAGAGTTTTCAGGTTTCTGTTAACTCACCAGTGTGGGATTTTTTCAGCTTCTTTATGTAGGTGTTTATGTTATGCTATGAACTTTCCTCTTAACACTGCTTTCATTGTGTTCCATAAATTTGAATATGTTGTGTGGTCATTTTCATTGTATTTTAGGAGGTCTTTAATTTCTCCCTTTATTTTTTCCTTGACCCATTCAGGTGAGCATTTTTTAATTTTCATGTGTTTGTGGGCTTTCTGGAATTATTGTTGCTGTTGAATTCTAATTTTAATTCATGGTGATCCGATAAGATACATGGGGTCATTCCAATTTTTTTTTTGTATCTGTTGAGGTTTGTTTTGTTACCTAGTATGTGGTCAGTTTTTGAGAAGGTTCCATGAGGTGCTGAGAAGGTATATTCTTTTCTGTTTGGATGGAATATTCTATAGATGTCTGTTAAGTCCATTTGAGTCATAACCTCTATTAGTTCTCTTATTTCTTTGTTAAATTATTTTTGTCTGACAGACCTGTCTAGTGGTGTGAGTGTAGTGTTGAAGTCTCTCACTATTAGTGTGTGGGGTTTAATATGTGAGTTAACCTGTTAAGCTTTAGAAGTGTTTCTTTACATATGAAGGTGCCCTTGTATTCAGGGCATAGATATTTAATATTGAGATTCCTCGTGATGGATTTTTCCTGTGACTAATATGAAATGTCCTTCTTTGTCTCTTTTGATTGATTTTAGTTGGAAGTCTATTTTGTTAAATATTAGAATAGCTACACCAGCTTGTCTTAGGTCCATTTGATTGGAAAATTTTTTCTTTCTCGCTGGTTCTAGATCTGTACCCTGGACCCACAGAGGTCTCTGGTTCCAGCTTATTCCCTCAGAGGTCCCAGACTTGTGTCCGGACCTGCAGAGCTCCTGGTTCAGGCCTCACAAGAGGTTCTTTTTAAGTGACTCTGTTAAATGTTGAGTAATGTGCATGTATGAGTGTTGTGTTTATCAAAAAAGAGTAGGATTGAAAAAATATTGATATTCACTCCCTGGAGGTCTTAGAGAAGTTCATGACTTAATTTAGATTTGCTATTTTACTTGTGGTCTTTTAATGACTCCTGTCCACCTAGATGCAATGACCACATGCAGAGGTCCAGAGTACCTCTGTAACTTAGATCCCTGACTGAGCTCCTGCTGAGGGTTAGTCTTCCAGAGGTGGTTGGTCACTGTGCTGAAGAACTAATCAAACTGGTTAATATGGCATGCACAGACTCTTCCAAGTATTGGTGTAAACTTTACCAAGAAGCAGCATGAGAAACTGCTCTGAGTGAGACTATTGCGGGAAAAGAAAAGTTGGTACCCCAATGAGGATACAACTGTTAGAGTTCCCAGATCTTCATTCCCTTCCTCCACAGATGTATGCATCCAGATTTGATACCACATGATCTGCTATAGGTGTGATGTACCCCTACTCTCTTGACATCGGTGTTTTGGACGCAAATGACAGTGTTTCAGTTCCAAGCAGGGACTCCTCATTGTGGATTTCTGCCAGTGTTCTTGAGCCTTCTATGATGTAGAAATTTGTTGCTGCTTCTGCCTGGGTCCTTTTATATCATGCAGAATCGACTTGAATACAATTCATGTCTTGAAGCCAAGTTCAGCTGGCCTGCTGCAAAAGCAAGACATTAAACCACTGAAAATTTAGAGATATTTATTACAGAACATAGTCACAACAGAAATAGCTGAGTGCTACAGATTGAGAGTAAAGAACTTCTACCCACAAGCCAAGCTCCTACACTGATCTCAGAGTCTCAGGAAACTAGCCATTTGGATACTGCAGAAGAAAAGCAACTGATTTTCTGGGTTTTCTCATATCCAGTTCCAAAATTCTCTATGTAATTTTTCTATGTGTGGTAGTTTAAAAGAAAATATCCCCCATTGGATCTTATTATGAAATGAATACATTATCTCCAGTTTTCGGAACTGTTTGAAAAGGATTACGAGGTGTGGTCTGGTTGAAAGAATTGTGTAATCATGGTTGGCCCTTAAGGCTTCAAAAGCCCACACCTTTGTGAGTTGGCTTGCATTTTGCTTACAACTTTAAGGTAAAAAAAGAAGCTCTCAGCTCTACCATCATAGACTCTTAACTTCTAAAACTCTAAGCCAAAATGAAACACTTTCATTTATAATTTGCCTTGGCCATGGTGTTTTAGCACAATAATAGAAAAACATCCAAGACATTGCCAGTTGCCGAAAAGCAGGTTCTGCAAGAACAATTTA